AGAGCGTGGTGCTAATAACGCCAAGGTCACGGGTTCAACCCCAGTACGGGCCACACCCTCTTTGTTGACATTATCAACCTTGTACTGTAAGAAAAAATTGAAAACTTCTCTCAATGGAGGTACTGACTGAAACTAGAACCGCGTGGCCTAAAGGATAAGGCGTCTGACTTCTGATCAGAAGATTGAGGGTTCAAGTCCCTTCGTGGTTGCTTGGAAGATCTCAACCCTCTGAATCTTGTTTAAGAAGGACCATTTTTCCACATAGAACGGTTTCGTGCAACAACTGAACATCATACTTGTAGCAGGTTATTGTCATTAGGAATGAGAAAATAACGACATGAAACCCTGAAGCACGTCAAGGCGGGTTAGCTCAGTTAGTTAGAGCGTGGTGCTAATAACGCCAAGGTCACGGGTTCAACCCCTGAACGGGCCACAATTTCTGTGGTGACTTTATCAACCTTGTACTGTAAGAAAAAATGGAAAACTTCAAATGAGAAATAATCAGCACAGGATTTGCTTTGAGCGCGGTGACAATATTGCGGTTTACAACCCCCGGAAGGCCACAAATGCCTTGTTGACATTATCAAGCTCTTAATGTATGGAAGACAAAAACAACTTCTCTCAATCGAGCTAATGACTGAGCCCAAAGGTAACTGCAGCAGAAGATTGAGGGTTCAAGTCTCTTTGTGGTTGCTTGAACGATCTTTACCCTTGCATTTTTCAGATTATTCCACATATCACCGTTTGGTGCAACAACTGATAATCGCACGTTTTTGTCATTAGGAATGAAAAAATAATGCCATGAAATTCAGTAGAATCCCAATGCTGGTTAGCTCAGTTGGTTAGAGCGTGGTGCTAATAACGCCAAGGTCACGGGTTCAACCCCCGTACGGGCCACACCCTCTTTGTTGACGTTATCAACCTTCTACTGTAAGAACAAATTGAAAACTTCTCTCAATGGAGCTACTGAATGAACTCCAAGGAAGCTGGTACTGTGTGGCCTAAAGGGTATGTTGTGTGACTTCAGATCAGAAGATGGAGCGGTCAAGTACCTTCATGGTTGCTTGAGAGCTCTCCACTCTAAATACCTAATAATCAGCACAAGATTTGCTCTGAGTGCGGTGGCTATATCGACGTTTACACCCCCAGAAGGCAACAACTGCCTTGTTGACATCATCAAGCTATTAATGTATGGAAGAAAAAAACAACTTCTCTCAATGGAGCTACTGACTGAACCCCAAGGAAACCGGAACAGCTTGGCCTAAAGGATAAGGCGTCTGACTTCGGATCAGAAGATTGAGGGTTCAAGTCCCTTCGTGGTTGCTTGGAAGATCTCTCCACTCTGAATCTGGTTTAAGCAGTAGCATTTTGAGATTATTCCACATAGTACCGTTTGGTGCAACAACCGAACATCACACATTTAGCAAGTTATTTCCTTAGGAATGAGAAAATAAAGACATGATATTCTGGGTCACCTCGAGGCCGGTTAGCTCAGTTGGTTAGAGCGTGGTGCTAATAACGCCAAGGTCATCCCCGTACGGGCCACAACTTCTTAGTTGACGTTATCAACCTTCTACTGTAAGAACAAATTGAAAACTTCTCTCAATGGAGCTACTGAATGAACTCCAAGGAAGCTGGTACTGTGTGGCCAAAAGGGTATGTTGTGTGACTTCAGATGAGAAGATGGAGCGGTCAAGTACCTTCATGGTTGCTTGAGAGCTCTCCACTCTAAATACCTAATAATCAGCACCAGATTTGCTCTGAGTGCGGTGGCTATATCAACGTTTACACCCCCAGAAGGCAACAAATGCCTTGTTGACATCATCAAGCTATTAATGTATGGAAGACAAAAACAACTTCTCTCAATGGAGCTACTGACTGAGCCCAAAGGTAACTGGATCAGAAGATTGAGGGTTCAAGTCCCTTTGTGGTTGCTTGAACGATCTTTACCCTTGCATTTTTCAGATTATTCCACATATCACCGTTTGGTGCAACAACTGATAATGGCACGTTTTTGTCATTAGGAGTGAAAAAATAATGCTATGAATTTCAGTAGAATCCCACGGCCGGTTAGCTCAGTTGGTTAGAGCGTGGTGCTAATAACGCCAAGGTCACGGGTTCAACCCCCGTACGGGCCACACCCTCTTTGTTGACATTATCAACCTTGTACTGTAAGAAAAAATTGAAAACTTCTCTCAATGGAGCTACTGACTGAAACTGGAACCGCGTGGCCTAAAGGATAAGGCGTCTGACTTCGGATCAGAAGATTGTGGGTTCAAGTCCCTTCGTTGTTGCTTGGAAGATCTCTGCACTCTGAATCTGGTTTAAGCAGTAGCTTTTTGAGATTATTCCACATAGTACCGTTTGGTGCAACAACCGAACATCACACATTTAGCAAGTTATTTCATTAGGAATGAGAAAATAAAGACATGAAACACTGAAGCACGTCAAGGCCGGTTAGCTCAGGTGGTTAGAGCGTGGTGCTAATAACGCCAAAGTCACGGGTTCAGCCCCCGTACGGGCCACAATTTCTGTGTTGACTTTATCAACCTTGTACTGTAAGAAAAAATTGAAAACTTCAAATGAGAAATAATCAGCACAGGAATTGCTCTGAGCGCGGTGACAATATCGCGGTTTACAACCCCCGGAAGGCCACAAATGCCTTGTGGACATTATCAAGCTATTAATGTATGGAAGACAAAAACAACTTCTCTCAATGGAGCTACTGACTGAGCCCAAAGGTAACTGGATCGGAAGATTGATGGTTCAAGTCCCTTTGTGGTTGCTTGAACGATCTTTACCCTTGCATTTTTCAGATTATTCCACATATCACCGTTTGGTGCAACAACTAATAATCGCACGTTTTTGTCATTAGGAATGAAAAAATAATGCTCTCTTTGTTGACATTATCAACCTTGTACTGTAAGAACAAATTGAAAACTTCTCTCAATGGAGCTACTGACTGAAACTGGAACCGCGTGGCCTAAAGGATAAGGCGTCTGACTTCGGATCAGAAGATTGAGGGTTCAAGTCCCTTCGTGGTTGCTTGGAAGATCTCTCCACTCTGAATCTGGTTTAAGCAGTAGCTTTTTGAGATTATTCCACATAGTACCGTTTGGTGCAACAACCGAACATCACACATTTAGCAAGTTATTTCATTAGGAATGAGAAAATAAAGAGATGAAACCCTGAAGCACGTCAAGGCCGGTTAGCTCCATTATTATCAACCTTGTACTGTAAGAACAAATTGAAAACTTCTCTCAATGGAGCTACTGAATGAACCCCAAGGAAACTGGAACCGCGTGGCCTAAAGGATGAGGCGTCTGACTTCGGATTAGAAGATTGAGGGTTCAAGTCCCTTTGTGGTTGCTTGAACGATCTTTACCCTTGCATTTTTCAGATTATTCCACATATCACCGTTTGGTGCAACAACTGATAATTGCACGTTTTTGTCATTAGGAATGAAAAAATAATGCTATGAATTTCAGTAGAATCCCAAGGCCGGTTAGCTCAGTTGGTTAGAGCGTGGTGCTAATAACGCCAAGGTCACGGGTTCAACCCCAGTACGGGCCACACCCTCTTTGTTGACATTATCAACCTTGTACTGTAAGAAAAAATTGAAAACTTCTCTCAATGGAGGTACTGACTGAAACTAGAACCGCGTGGCCTAAAGGATAAGGCGTCTGACTTCTGATCAGAAGATTGAGGGTTCAAGTCCCTTCGTGGTTGCTTGGAAGATCTCAACCCTCTGAATCTTGTTTAAGAAGGACCATTTTTCCACATAGAACGGTTTCGTGCAACAACTGAACATCATACTTGTAGCAGGTTATTGTCATTAGGAATGAGAAAATAACGACATGAAACCCTGAAGCACGTCAAGGCGGGTTAGCTCAGTTAGTTAGAGCGTGGTGCTAATAACGCCAAGGTCACGGGTTCAACCCCTGAACGGGCCACAATTTCTGTGGTGACTTTATCAACCTTGTACTGTAAGAAAAAATGGAAAACTTCAAATGAGAAATAATCAGCACAGGATTTGCTTTGAGCGCGGTGACAATATTGCGGTTTACAACCCCCGGAAGGCCACAAATGCCTTGTTGACATTATCAAGCTCTTAATGTATGGAAGACAAAAACAACTTCTCTCAATCGAGCTAATGACTGAGCCCAAAGGTAACTGCAGCAGAAGATTGAGGGTTCAAGTCTCTTTGTGGTTGCTTGAACGATCTTTACCCTTGCATTTTTCAGATTATTCCACATATCACCGTTTGGTGCAACAACTGATAATCGCACGTTTTTGTCATTAGGAATGAAAAAATAATGCCATGAAATTCAGTAGAATCCCAATGCTGGTTAGCTCAGTTGGTTAGAGCGTGGTGCTAATAACGCCAAGGTCACGGGTTCAACCCCCGTACGGGCCACACCCTCTTTGTTGACGTTATCAACCTTCTACTGTAAGAACAAATTGAAAACTTCTCTCAATGGAGCTACTGAATGAACTCCAAGGAAGCTGGTACTGTGTGGCCTAAAGGGTATGTTGTGTGACTTCAGATCAGAAGATGGAGCGGTCAAGTACCTTCATGGTTGCTTGAGAGCTCTCCACTCTAAATACCTAATAATCAGCACAAGATTTGCTCTGAGTGCGGTGGCTATATCGACGTTTACACCCCCAGAAGGCAACAACTGCCTTGTTGACATCATCAAGCTATTAATGTATGGAAGAAAAAAACAACTTCTCTCAATGGAGCTACTGACTGAACCCCAAGGAAACCGGAACAGCTTGGCCTAAAGGATAAGGCGTCTGACTTCGGATCAGAAGATTGAGGGTTCAAGTCCCTTCGTGGTTGCTTGGAAGATCTCTCCACTCTGAATCTGGTTTAAGCAGTAGCATTTTGAGATTATTCCACATAGTACCGTTTGGTGCAACAACCGAACATCACACATTTAGCAAGTTATTTCCTTAGGAATGAGAAAATAAAGACATGATATTCTGGGTCACCTCGAGGCCGGTTAGCTCAGTTGGTTAGAGCGTGGTGCTAATAACGCCAAGGTCATCCCCGTACGGGCCACAACTTCTTAGTTGACGTTATCAACCTTCTACTGTAAGAACAAATTGAAAACTTCTCTCAATGGAGCTACTGAATGAACTCCAAGGAAGCTGGTACTGTGTGGCCAAAAGGGTATGTTGTGTGACTTCAGATGAGAAGATGGAGCGGTCAAGTACCTTCATGGTTGCTTGAGAGCTCTCCACTCTAAATACCTAATAATCAGCACCAGATTTGCTCTGAGTGCGGTGGCTATATCAACGTTTACACCCCCAGAAGGCAACAAATGCCTTGTTGACATCATCAAGCTATTAATGTATGGAAGACAAAAACAACTTCTCTCAATGGAGCTACTGACTGAGCCCAAAGGTAACTGGATCAGAAGATTGAGGGTTCAAGTCCCTTTGTGGTTGCTTGAACGATCTTTACCCTTGCATTTTTCAGATTATTCCACATATCACCGTTTGGTGCAACAACTGATAATGGCACGTTTTTGTCATTAGGAGTGAAAAAATAATGCTATGAATTTCAGTAGAATCCCACGGCCGGTTAGCTCAGTTGGTTAGAGCGTGGTGCTAATAACGCCAAGGTCACGGGTTCAACCCCCGTACGGGCCACACTCTCTTTGTTGACAATATCAACCTTGTACTGTAAGAAAAAATTGAAAACTTCTCTCAATGGAGCTACTGACTGAAACTGGAACCGCGTGGCCTAAAGGATAAGGCGTCTGACTTCGGATCAGAAGATTGTGGGTTCAAGTCCCTTCGTTGTTGCTTGGAAGATCTCTGCACTCTGAATCTGGTTTAAGCAGTAGCTTTTTGAGATTATTCCACATAGTACCGTTTGGTGCAACAACCGAACATCACACATTTAGCAAGTTATTTCATTAGGAATGAGAAAATAAAGACATGAAACACTGAAGCACGTCAAGGCCGGTTAGCTCAGGTGGTTAGAGCGTGGTGCTAATAACGCCAAAGTCACGGGTTCAGCCCCCGTACGGGCCACAATTTCTGTGTTGACTATTTCAACCTTGTACTGTAAGAAAAAATTGAAAACTTCAAATGAGAAATATTCAGCACAGGATTTGCTCTGAGCGCGGTGACAATATCGCGGTTTACAACCCCCGGAAGGCCACAAATGCCTTGTGGACATTATCAAGCTATTAATGTATGGAAGACAAAAACAACTTCTCTCAATGGAGCTACTGACTGAGCCCAAAGGTAACTGGATCGGAAGATTGAGGGTTCAAGTCCCTTTGTGGTTGCTTGAACGATCTCTACCCTTGCATTTTTCAGATTATTCCACATATCACCGTTTGGTGCAACAACTGATAATCGCACGTTTTTGTCATTAGGAATGAAAAAATAATGCTCTCTTTGTTGACATTATCAACCTTGTACTGTAAGAAAAAATTGAAAACTTCTCTCAATGGAGCTACTGACTGAAACTGGAACCGCGTGGCCTAAAGGATAAGGCGTCTGACTTCGGATCAGAAGATTGAGGGTTCAAGTCCCTTCGTGGTTGCTTGGAAGATCTCTCCACTCTGAATCTGGTTTAAGCAGTAGCTTTTTGAGATTATTCCACATAGTACCGTTTGGTGCAACAACCGAACATCACACATTTAGCAAGTTATTTCATTAGGAATGAGAAAATAAAGACATGAAACCCTGAAGCACGTCAAGGCCGGTTAGCTCCATTATTATCAACCTTGTACTGTAAGAACAAATTGAAAACTTCTCTCAATGGAGCTACTGAATGAACCCCAAGGAAACTGGAACCGCGTGGCCTAAAGGATGAGGCGTCTGACTTCGGATTAGAAGATTGAGGGTTCAAGTCCCTTCGTGGTTGCTTGGAAGATCTCTCCACTCTGAATCTGGTTTAAGCAGTAGCTTTTTGAGATTATTCCACATAGTACCGTTTGGTGCAACAACCGAACATCACACATTTAGCAAGTTATTTCATTAGGAATGAGAAAATAAAGACATGATATTCTGGATCACCTCGAGGCCGGTTAGCTCAGTTGGTTAGAGCGTGGTGCTAATAACGCCAAGGGCACGGGTTCAACCCCCGTACGGGCCACAACTTCTTAGTTGACGTTATCAACCTTCTACTGTAAGAACAAATTGAAAACTTCTCTCAATGGAGCTACTGAATGAACTCCAAGGAAGCTGGTACTGTGTGGCTTTAACGGTATGTTATGTGACTTCAGATCAGAAGATGGAGTGGTCAAGTGCCTTCATGGTTGCTTGAGAGCTCTCCACTCTAAATACCTAATAATCAGCACAAGATTTGCTCTGAGTGCGGTGGCTATATCGACGTTTACACCCCCAGAAGGCAACAACTGCCTTGATGACATCATCAAGCTATTAATGTATGGAAGACAAAAACAACTTCTCTCAATGGAGCTACTGACTGAACCCCAAGGAAACCGGAACAGCTTGGCCTAAAGGATAAGGCGTCTGACTTCGGATCAGAAGATTGAGGGTTCAAGTCCCTTCGTGGTTGCTTGGAAGATCTCAACCCTCTGAATCTTGTTTAAGAAGTACCATTTTGAGATTATTCCACATAGAACCGTTTGGTGCAACAACTGTACATCATACCTGTAGCAAGTTATTGTCATTAGGAATGAGAAAATATCGACATGAAACCCTAAAGCACGTGAAGGCCGGTTAGCTCAGTTGATTAGAGCGAGTTGCTAATAACGCCAAGGTCACGTGTTCAGCCCCCGTACTGGCCACAATTTCTGTGTTGACTTTATCAACCTTGTACTGTAAGAAAAAATGGAAAACTTTAAATACCAAATAATCAGCACAGGATTTGCTCTGAGCGCGGTGACAATATTGCGGTTTACAACCCCCGGAAGGCCACAAATGCCTTGTTGACATTATCAAGCTATTAATGTATGGAAGACAAAAACAACTTCTCTCAATGGAGCTACTGACTGAGCCCAAAGGTAACTGGATCAGAAGATTGAGGGTTCAAGTCCCTTTGTGGTTGCTTGAACGATCTTTACCCTTGCATTTTTCAGATTATTCCACATATCACCGTTTGGTGCAACAATTGATAATCGCACGTTTTTGTCATTAGGAATGAAAAAATAATGCTATGAATTTCAGTAGAATCCCAAGGCCGGTTAGCTCAGTTGGTTAGAGCGTGGTGCTAATAACGCCAAGGTCACGGGTTCAACCCCCTTACGGGCCACACCCTCTTTGTTGACATTATCAACCTTGTACTGTAAGAAAAAATTGAAAACTTCACTCAATGGAGCTACTGACTGAATCTAGAACCGCGTGGCCTAAAGGATAAGGCGTCTGACTTCGGATCAGAAGATTGAGGGTTCAAGTCCCTTCGTGGTTGCTTGGAAGATCTCAACTCTCTGAATCTTGTTCAAGAAGTACCATTTTTCCACATAGAACGGTTTCGTGCAACAACTGAACATCATACTTGTAGCAGGTTATTGTCATTAGGAATGAGAAAATAACGACATGAAACCCTGAAGCACGTGAAGGCCGGTTAGCTCAGTTGGTTAGAGCGTGGTGTTAATAATGCCAAGGTCACGGGTTCAACCCCAGTACAGGCCACAACTTGTTAGTTGACGTTATCAACCTTCTACTGTAAGAACAAATTGAAAACTTCTCTCAACTGAATGAACTCCAAGGAAGCTGGTACTGTGTGGCCTAAAGGGTATGTTGTGTGACTTCAGATCAGAAGAGGGAGCGGTCAAGTACCTTCATGGTTGCTTGAGAGCTCTCCACTCTAAATACCTAATAATCAGCACAAGATTTGCTCTGAGTGCGGTGGCTATATTGACGTTTACACCCCCAGAAGCCAACAAATGCCTTGTTGACATCATCAAGCCATTAATGTATGGAAGACAAAAATAACTTCTCTCAATGGAGCTACTGACTGAACCCTAAGGATACTGGAACCGCGTGGCCTAAAGGATAAGGCGTCTGACTTCGGATCAGAAGATTGAGGGTTCAAGTCCCTTCGTGGTTGCTTGGAAGATCTCAACCCTCTGAATCTTGTTTAAGAAGTACCATTTTGAGATTATTCCACATAGAACCGTTTGGTGCAACAACTGTACATCATACCTGTAGCAAGTTATTGTCATTAGGAATGAGAAAATAACGACATGAAACCCTAAAGCACGTGAAGGCCGGTTAGCTCAGTTGATTAGAGCGTGGTGCTAATAACACCAAGGTCACGTGTTCAGCCCCCGTACTGGCCACAGTTTCTGTGTTGACTTTATCAACCTTGTACTGTAAGAAAAAATTGAAAACTTCTCTCAATGGAGCTACTGACTGAAACTGGAACCGCGTGGCCTAAAGGATAAGGCGTCTGACTTCGGATCAGAAGTTTGAGGGTTAAAGTCCCTTCGTGGTTGCTTGGAAGATCTCTCCACTCTGAATCTGGTTTAAGCAGTAGCTTTTTGAGATTATTCCACATAGTACCGTTTGGTGCAACAACCGAACATCACACATTTAGCAAGTTATTTCATTAGGAATGAGAAAATAAAGACATGATATTCTGGATCACCTCGAGGCCGGTTAGCTCAGTTGGTTAGAGCGTGGTGCTAATAACGCCAAGGTCACGGGTTCAACCCCCGTACGGGCCACAACTTCTTAGTTGACGTTATCAACCTTCTACTGTAAGAACAAATTGAAAACTTCTCTCAATGGAGCTACTGAATGAACTCCAAGGAAGCTGGTACTGTGTGGCCTAAAGGGTATGTTGTGTGACTTCAGATCAGAAGATGGAGCGGTCAAGTACCTTCATGGTTGCTTGAGTGCTCTCCACTCTAAATACCTAATAATCAGCACAAGATTTGCTCTGAGCGCGGTGGCTATATTGACGTTTACACCCCCAGAAGGCAACAACTGCCTTGTTGACATCATCAAGCTATTAATGTATGGAAGACAAAAACAACTTCTCTCAATGGAGCTACTGACTGAACCCCAAGGAAACTGGAACAGCTTGGCCTAAAGGATAAGGCGTCTGACTTCGGATCAGAAGATTGAGGGTTCAAGTCCCTTCGTGGTTGCTTGGAAGATCTCAACCCTCTGAATCTTGTTTAAGAAGTACCAATTTTCCACATAGAACGGTTTCGTGCTACAACTGAACATCATACTTGTAGCAAGTTATTGTCATTAGGAATGAGAAAATAACGACATGAAACCCTGAAGCACGTCAAGGCCGGTTAGCTCAGGTGGTTAGAGCATGGTGCTAATAACGCCAAAGTCACGGGTTCAGCCCCGTACGGGCCACAATTTCTGTGTTGACTTTATCAACCTTGTAATGTAAGAAAAAATTGAAAACTTCAAATGAGAAACAGGATTTGCTCTGAGCGCGGTGACAATATCGCGGTTTACAACCCCCGGAAGGCCACAAATGCCCTGTGGACATTATCAAGCTATTAATGTATGGAAGACAAAAACAACTTCTCTCAATGGAGCTACTGACTGAGCCCAAAGGTAACTGGATGGGAAGATTGAGGGTTCAAGTCCCTTTGTGGTTGCTTGAACGATCTTTACCCTTGCATTTTTCAGATTATTCCACATATCACCGTTTGGTGCAACAACTGATAATCGCACGTTTTTGTCATTAGGAATGAAAAAATAATGCTCTCTTTGTTGACATTATCAACCTTGTACTGTAAGAAAAAATTGAAAACTTCTCTCAATGGAGCTACTGACTGAAACTGGAACCGCGTGGCCTAAAGGATAAGGCGTCTGACTTCGGATCAGAAGATTGAGGGTTCAAGTCCGTTCGTGGTTGCTTGGAAGATCTCTCCACTCTGAATCTGGTTTAAGCAATAGCTTTTTGAGATTATTCCATATAGTACCGTTTGGTGCAACAACCGAACATCACACATTTAGCAAGTTATTTCATTAGGAATGAGAAAATAAAGACATGATATTCTGGATTACCTCGAGGCCGGTTAGCTCAGTTGGTTAGAGCGTGGTGCTAATAACGCCAAGGTCACGGGTTCAACCCCCGTACGGGCCACAACTTCTTAGTTGACGTTATCAACCTTCTACTGTAAGAACAAATTGAAAACTTCTCTCAATGGAGCTACTGAATGAACTCCAAGGAAGCTGGTACTGTGTGGCCTCAAGGGTATGTTGTGTGACTTCAGATCAGAAGATGGAGCGGTCAAGTACCTTCATGGTTGCTTGAGGGCTCTCCACTCTAAATACCTAATAATCAGCACAAGATTTGCTCTGAGTGCGGTGGCTATATTGACGTTTACACCCCCAGAAGGCAACAACTGCCCTGTTGACATCATCAAGCTATTAATGTATGGAAGACAAAAACAACTTCTCTCAATGGAGCTACTGACTGAACCCCAAGGAAACCGGAACAGCTTGGCCTAAAGGATAAGGCGTCTGACTTCGGATCAGAAGTTTGAGGGTTCAAGTCCCTTCGTGGTTGCTTGGAAGATCTCAACCCTCTCAATGTTGTTTAAGAAGTACCATTTTGAGATTATTCCACATAGAACCGTTTGGTGCAACAACTGAACATCATACCTGTAGCAAGTTATTGTCATTAGGAATGAGAAAATAACGACATGAAACCCTGAAAAGCACGTGAAGGCCGGTTAGCTCAGTTCGTTAGAGCGTGGTGCTAATAATGCCAAGGTCACGGGTTCAACCCCCTACGGGCCACACCCTCTTTGTTGACATTATCAACCTTGTACTGTAAGAAAAAATTGAAAACTTCTCTCAATGGAGCTACTGACTGAAACTGGAACCGCGTGGCCTAAAGGATAAGGTGTCTGACTTCGGATCAGAAGATTGAGGGGTCAAGTCCCTTCGTGGTTCCTTGGAAGATCTCTCCACTCTGAATCTTGTTTAAGCAGTAGCTTTTTGAGATTATTCCACATAGTACCGTTTGGTGCAACAACCGAACATCACACATTTAGCAAGTTATTTCATTAGGAATGAGAAAATAAAGACATGATATTCTGGATCACCTCGAGGCCGGTTAGCTCAGTTGGTTAGAGCGTGGTGCTAATAACGCCAAGGTCACGGGTTCAACCCCCGTACGGGCCACAAATTCTTAGTTGACGTTATCAACCTTCTACTGTAAGAACAAATTGAAAACTTCTCTCAATGGAGCTACTGAATGAACCCCAAGGAAACTGGAACCGCGTGGCCTAAAGGATAAGGCGTCTGACTTCGGATCAGAAGATTGAGGGTTCAAGTCCCTTCGTGGTTGCTTGGAAGATCTCAACCCTCTGAATCTTTTTTAAGAAGTACCATTTTTCCACATAGAACGGTTTTGTGCAACAACTGAACATCAAACTGGTAGCAGGTTATTGTCATTAGGAATGAGAAAATAACGACATGAAACCCTGAAGCACGTCAAGGCCGGTTAGCTCAGTTGGTTAGAGCGTGGTGCTAATAAAGCCAAGGTCACGGGTTCAACCCCCGAACGGGCCACAATTTCTATGTTGACTTTATCAACCTTGTAATGTAAGAAAAAATTGAAAACTTTAAATGAGAAATAATCAGCACAGGATTTGCTCTGAGCGCGGTGACAATATTGTGGTTTACAACCCCCGAAAGGCCACAAATGCCTTGTTGACATTATCAAGCTCTTAATGTATGGAAGACAAAAACAACTTCTCTCAATGGAGCTACTGACTGAGCCCAAAGGTAACTGCAGCAGAAGATTGAGGGTTCAAGTCCCTTTGTGGTTGCTTGAACGATCTTTACCCTTGCATTTTTCAGATTATTCCACATATCACCGTTTGGTGCAACAACTGATAATTGCACGTTTTTGTCATTAGGAATGAAAAAATAATGCCATGAAATTCAGTAGAATCCCAAGGCCGGTTAGCTCAGTTGGTTAGAGCGTGGTGCTAATAACGCCAAGGTCACGGGTTCAACCCCCGTACAGGCCACACCCTCCTTGTTGACATTATCAACCTTGTACTGTAAGAAAAAATTGAAAACTTCTCTCGATGGAGCTACTGCCTGAAACTGGAACCGCATGGCCTAAAGGATATGGCCTCTGACTTCGGATCATAAGATTGAGGGTTCAAGTCCCTTCGTGGTTGCTTGGAAGATCTCTCCACTCTGAATCTGGTTTTAGCAGTAGCTTTTTGAGATTATTCCACATAGTACCGTTTGGTGCAACAACCGAACATCACACATTTAGCAAGTTATTTCATTAGGAATGAGAAAATAAAGACATGATATTCTGGATCACCTCGAGGCCGGTTAGCTCAGTTGGTTAGAGCGTGGCCAAGGTCACGGGTTCAACCCCCGTACGGGCCACAACTACTTAGTTGACATTATCAACCTTGTACTGTAAGAACAAATTGAAAACTTCTCTCAATGGAGCTACTGAATGAACTCCAAGGAAACTGGAACCGCGTGGCCTAAAGGATAAGGCGTCTGACTTCGGATCAGAAGATTGAGGGATCAAGTCCCTTCGTGGTTGCTTGGAAGATCTCAACCCTCTGAATCTTGTTTAAGAAGTACAATTTTTCCACATAGAACCGTTTCGTGCAACAACTGAACATCATGCTTGTAGCAAGTTATTGTCATTAGGAATGAGAAAATAACGACATGAAACCCTGAAGCACGTCAAGGCCGGTTAGCTCAGTTGGTTAGAGCGAGGTGCTAATAACGCCAAGGTCACAGGTTCAACCCCCGTACGGGCCACACCCTCTTTGTTGACATTATCAACCTTCTACTGTAAGAAAAAATTGAAAACTTCTCTCAATGGAGCTACTGACTGAAACTAGAACCGCGTGGCCTAAAGGATAAGGCGTCTGACTTTGGATCAGAAGATTTAGGCTTCAAGTCCCTTCGTGGTTGCTTGGAAGATCTCTCCACTCTGAATCTGGTGTAAGCCTTAGCGTTTTGTGATTATTCCACATAGGACCGTGTGGTGCATCAACTGAACTTTATGCACTTTATTCCTAATGACAATAACTGAACTTAAGTTATTGTCATTAGGAATGAGAAAATAAAGTCATGAAATTCTGATGCACCTCAAGGCCGGTTAGCTTATTTGGTTAGCGCGTGGTGCTAATAACGCCAAGGTCACGGGTTCAACCCCCGTACGGGCCACAACTTCTTAGTTGACATTATCAACCTTGTACGAAGTTCAAAGCCATGTCCCTTCCTGGTTACTTGAAAGATCTCTGCTCTCTAAATATCAAACAAGCAGCTACTTCTTGTCTAATTAGCTCAGTTGGTCAGAGCGTGGTGCTAGTAATGCCAATATCACTGTCAACAACCCCAGTATGGGCCACAAATGCCTTGTTGACATGGTCAAGCTTTTTTGTTATATTTGGCTTTTAGCCCAACATAACATTAACATAACATGACATTATCAACATGGAGTTTCATTCTGTCTCACTAGTCTGACTCTGGAGCATTAGTCGCTATGAGGTAATTTTCACGTTGAGATTAGCGGGTTTGTGCCACACACACACACACACACACACACACACAATTACTTTCATATTCTCAATGTTAGAATCACAATATATGTATGATGTGTCCATTGTATATTGTCTATTGCATATTTGGTTGAATTAAGCTGTTCAATGTAGGTTTAATGCTCAGCATAAACAGTTTTTCCACCCCTGTTCTGACGGAAGTCATTAGTTTGACTGCTGGTAGACCATTTGACCAGAAGAGGGCGACATGTAACCGAGTTGGCCGTCATCTCGTCCCGTGGTTCTCCAATTGCAGTAGGCCTATGAATGACCCTAGCGGTATTAAAGTGCAGCGCAGGGGGGGGGGGGGGGGTTGGTGGCTGTGCACAATGAGACATGACACTCCCTCAGTATAAACAAGTTTTTAGACCCACAGGCCTAACACACACACACACACACACACACACACACACACACGGTCAGTGGTCATGGTCAGCAGCACAGTATTGACATCAGGAGCCTCATTCCAGTAAATGAGATCTAATGTTCTGTAAGCATCCAATATGACACACTGTACTTTTATACTCATTGACATTTATATGACATTTATTTTTTACCATGACTTTAAGGATATTATTTAGACTTTATACATTTCATTCATGCATTCAACGTGTATTTGAGTATTCAGAAAAGCGCTATACCAATACAATGTGTAATACTTCTCTTATACATAAACTGTTGACACTTTAAACAAACTTTCTGATGTGCCTTCACCTACTAACCACTCCAAACAGAGAATATACAGAATATGACAAGAGACCTGGCGCACACACACACACACACACACACACACACACACACGTAAATATGACATGAGTGCATATTCATACAATCACATCAAGTCCCACAGGCTCTGTACTGATCCCGCGTTCCCGTTAGAGGACCAGCAAAGTTATTTCTACGTGTGTATTATGGTGCTACTTAATATTATGTCATGTATAAACACTTTTATACTTTAAATATAGCATCTGCCAACGTTAGCGTTGGCTCGAATACATTTCCCACTTTCCACTCCAGTGCGCCACACCATCAATACACTGACATGAATTGAATGTTCGGCGTTACAACTAGGCCGTGGCCGCAGGAGATATCCAGGAAACCATCGTGGAAGCGAGGAGTAGAAAGGTGTGTGTGTGTTGCGTACAAAACGCGCTTGTTCAGAAATCAGGTGAGCTGAAAGATAAAATGTTTTTGCTTGTGTCTGATCACATCACCCCCATTCCAACCTCCATGTTTTTAAAGTCTTATCATTACTGGCTGGACTAGTCCATGCTTCCCAGGCTTTCACCATAACACAGTTTGGATTCATTGTTTGCACTTTTCAATGCAATGCCAGTCACTGTATGGTAAGGTTAGGTAGATAGACGGACGGACGGACGGACGGACGGACGGACGGACGGACGGACGGACGGACGGACGGACGGACGGACGGACGGACAGACAGACAGACAGACAGACAGACAGACAGACAGACAGACAGACAGACAGACAGACAGACAGACAGACAGACTTTATTGATCCCAAGCTGGGAAATTGCAGTGTAGCAGCAGCATTACACAGTAACACAATGAATTAAAGAATAAAATGCAATATAAAACATGTTTAAAAATGTATAAATACATTTTAGTGCATAGTGGTGAAGTTATGTGTATAGTCTGATGGTAAACCTGGACAATTCTTCCTTTTGGCTGTAGTAGGTTTCAAATGCAGCTAGACAACGTTTAGCAATATAAGAATGATGGCACATGGCCAGAGCATTATCATATTGTATTTCCTCAAACTCACTATACCTCTGGTAATATAAAATCAATAATAGTGACTCACTCAGTTCTCATATTAGTATTTAGTGTTTTTTGACAATTAACAATCTTATTAACCTCAACAAATGGCATTTTGAAGCTGTCTTATCAAATCACAGCTCATTAATATAACGTATTTGAATAGGCTTAATGTGATAAGAGATTGTTTGATTGTGCGGTCGTTATTTGAAGTGTACTCTTTTGTTTTAATGGCCGCCTCAGGAGAGGCTTAGCATGTTGACTAAACAGGCCACAGTATAAGGGCTACTACTCACTGTATTTACAGTTTTGGTCTCTTATCCACTTTCTTTTTTAAATCTATTTCTATCCGTCTACTTTCTATCTGAGCTGATATTAACCCCGAAGGCCACAGGCCCACACCCCCCTGCTATTTCATCTCCTTCAACCTTCAAGAGCGATCCTTTTGTAGTGGAGAAACCTTTCCACTGTTTCACCCGCCTTTGTTTATATGTTTATCTCTTAGTCTTTTACTCCTCTCTCTCTCTCTCTCTGCTTTCAAAACAAAGAGCATCTCTATCAGCCTCCATATCTCCATATGTTATTTAAACAATCAGATGGTGGTGGAGCATAGCAGTGGAGCTGCTGTTCATGATATTAAAGGCCTGCTCCTGCCAAGTCCCGCCCTAGCTTCACCTAACTCTAATCTTATGTGTGTGTGTGTGTGTGTGTGTGTGTGTGTGTGTGTGTGTGTGTGTGTGTGTGTGTGTGTGTGTGTGTGTGTGTGTGTGTGTGTGTGTGTCTGCTGTAGTTATGTGCCTTGTTTGTGAAGTTTCATTGAATGCGGGGACTTGATGCTGTGGGGTGTGCGGCACGGTCTCCATTATCTCTGTGTGTATATGTGTATTGTGTATGTGTGTGTCAAGAAGAGGAATTGCATTCATTCATTCATTCATTTATGTATTCTCTACTTCTGCACATCAGTAGCTGTCCTTGAGTTCCTCCTGCTTCTCCTCCTACACCCCCACCACCACCACCACCTCCACCACATCATCTCTATTCTTGTCAGGTTTACAAAAACATCCATGGTTTTGCCGTATAAAGACCCAGGAGGCAGGCAGGAGCATGTCTATTATGTGTCTGTGGAGAAGCATTGAGTGGTGAACACGCCTCGGCGGTAAACCTTGACTATTGTGCTGTCCCCAGTAAATGACAAACTAAAGTAACATAAACAAGGTACATTGTCATGAAGTTGCCCCCTTAAGCGAGGAATCACACCCAAATAGGCTTATTTGGGTGTAATGAATGAAACTTAACCCGTTAGACGTATACATAAAAACAACATGTTTTCGTATTACAATTTACTTACATTTTCTTCAGTTAGCACTTAGCTAGGTGAGAACCTAGCAAATGAGGCAGTACCTCATTAAATATATGCTAATGTGCATATCACAAGAATCAAATTTTCAACAAATTAATTTCTATCGGAAATATTTTTAACACACCCAACAGTCAGACTTATCACAGTCACACTGGTAGCGGATGAGGTGTCATACCCCCCCCCCCCCCACACACACACACACACACACACACACACTATGTAAAGCACTTTGGGTGTCTTGAAAAGTGCTATAGAAATGCAATGAATTATTATTAATTATTATACATACCAGTTCATCAAAATATTGTTATTTCATGGTGGAGTGTGTGTGGTTGGTAGCTGGTTTCCAGCCTCACCTGTCCTGAGTCAGACTGATTGGACTCTGGGCTGGGTGGGGCGGCACACCTGTGGTGCATGAACAATCATGGCACCCAGGATAAACCAGCGATCAACACACAGAGAGACAGCCTCTGTCATGGCAGCATAGCATCTGCTGCGCTTGCACCAGCATGACTTTTCCAATAAATGGATTTCTCCATCAGCGATTACCTGTGTCTTCTGTGGGAGAGTCAACCGCTTCACATGGAATTACTTAAAACAACACTATTCACATGTATGATGAAGACATATTTTGCAGAACAAATGTTACATATCAAATCAAAATTACAGAAGATTGAGAAAAACCTACGTATAAGACTTATGAACCAGTGTGTAAAATTATGTGGATGTACCTTCTTTGAAGGCCAAGAAAAAACGTTAGAGAGAATGGCCGATAAACACAAATTAATGCAATTCAAATGTTAGAAACGATTGGTCTTTCAGCATGGATCTCATTGTGTTGGCCCCTCACTGTGTCACGTAGTTGACTGGTTATTCATTATTTTGAAAAAAAAAATTGTATTCAAACCAAATTCCAAATAGGATTTATAATCCATTATAATTTATAATAATATAAATGCACGTCCAGAATGTACAGCAAATGTGGTTTAGACTTGTGGTTTCTGAGAAGATTTTCTGTCGTCTGTTGGCACCACATTGGACATTGGACGAATCGATGTAATTTTCTCAGGATCATTTGTGGGCGATGAGATAAATGTCCACAAGCGATTTGGAGTAAATATGAGTCAAGGTTTAGGAGTAGTGGCATGATTTTGAGCATTAGTGCTTAGCATAGCATTTATGCAAATTTGTTGAGCTTTTGAGTACAAACTTGGCACACTTCTGAAGGCGGATGTTACTGCCTACCTAGTTTTAAGGCCCTGGGTCATTCTCAAGTGGAACATTGCAAAGTTTTGATTTCCGTAATTCTAAATGAGGTTCTGAGTCAGGCACATCCATAAAGCATCTGTACCAAATTTGGTGTCATTTGGACTGGATTTATAGGATTTTTGAAGTTTTCCCAAAAACGTTTACTGTACAGAAAAATCTATCCAGGAGAAACTTATTCATCCAAGGGACAAAAATGTTCAGCATGTCAAATAAGGCCAGGTTTCAGAAATGCGCCCTATAGGCGCGGGGCTAAGCGTTTAACTTTGACCGTGAATTATAGCGCAGACTTATGGTGCCAAACTTTTTGGAGACCTGCTTACAGAATAATAATGTCGTCAACAAATGTGAAAACTTTTGAGCAATCAGGGCTGAGCTATAGGCGTTACCAATCCAAAATAACAAG